AAAATAAAATAAAATAAAATAAAATAAAATAAAATAAAATAAAATAATAAAATAAAATAAAATAATAAAATAAGCTCCACAAGAAAACAAACAAACAAAAATGAAACAAGATTCCATTTGAATTCTGTTTTCTTTTTAAACAATGATTTCTAGGCAGCTTGGTACAAATTAACTGATCATCTACTATTTCCACCATTTGTGGAACAGATATTAACAACACACGTACTATTCTGAGGCAGTGATATGAGGTTTCATGTCTTGAGCTATGAAAATATAAATCAACAACAGTTTCGATAACACTTTCATGATTCTTAATTAATAGTGACCACAGTAACACTGTTTTGATGTCACAGACTGATTTTCTGTAAACCTTCATTAAAAAACTGGGGACCTCTATCATCAGACATACAACAGACAGGACTTCTGTTTTGACGTGGTTTAAAGAAAAAAAAAAAAAAAAACAAAAAAAAAAACCAAAATGAATCAAAAAAATGTGACACAGGTCAAATTTCATGTGGCATTCCGCTTAGGGAGAACACTGATTTCAAGAAGGGCTTTACTTGATTTTAAAGGGCTTTACTCAGGATTTTAAGTTTTAAAACAGGAAAAAAAGAAAGTCCTATATGGCAGAACATCTATTGTAATGGTCTCCTCTTTCTTAGGAGGCTGCCATGAAGGGATGGCACCTCTGTCAATTGTTTTACAAGTTCAAGTCAAAAAAATAATAATGAAGCATGATATTTTCTGGTGATCATCCCAGGCAATAATAAGGGACTGGTGCACTATGGTGGAACTTCATGCCCAGTGTTGGAGAGCTAGGAAAACATAGCCAGAATTTTGTCCTTGGGGAAGGACTTCTGAAAACTAAGCTACACCAAAAAAGGGGGGAGATAAGTTACCGCTGCTGTGCACTGAAAGTTGCAATATATAGAGAATGGAAAAGACTTCAGAAGTATGTTCATAATATGAAGTTTCTCAGGGATTTTTCCTTATTGTGTATTGAGCTTTCCCTCCTAGTCATACGAGGCTCTACTTCTTTGCACATCCTTACATGATATTTCTACCGGATAAATTATCTGAAGTATTTTCCTCATTTGGTTTTCAGAATTTGATGAAATGAGTAAGAGAGAGAGGATTTGAAACAATTAGAATATTTCAGTTGGAAGGGTCCTACAAAGATCATCAAGTCCAACTGCCTGACCTCTTCAGGGCTAATCAAAAATTAAAATATATTAATACAGAAATTGTACAAATGCCTCTTGAACTCTGGCAGGCACAGAACATCAACCACTTTGCTATGAAGCTTGTGCTTCCTAGGGTGTTTGACCATTCCTATGAGAAATAATTTTTTCCTCGTATCTAGTGTGAACCTTCACTGGTGAAGTTTTGTGCCATCCACTCACTTTCTATCATGATTTAACAGGAAGCAGAGCCCAGTACCTCCATTTCCCATGCTTAGGGTACTACAGGCCACCTCTCAGCCTCCTTTTCACCAGACTGGATAGCTCAAGTGTTTTCATCCTGTTCATGAAAGACATGTCTTCCAGCCCTTTTGTTATCCTTGTTACCCTTTTCTGGACACTTTCAAGGGCCTTAAGTTCCTTTTCACAGTGTGTAGCCCAGAGCTGTACCAGGGGTGAGACTGCACCAATGCTAAATATAGTGGGACAACCACCTTTTTCTGGCCAGCTGACTGTGCTGTGTTTAAAAGACCTCAAAATATAGTTTGTTCCCTTGGCTGCTCATGCTGAACTGCTCTTACCATCACTCCCTCACTGCCCGGTTGGTCTCCTTCTGCTCATTTCTGAGTCTGTATCAGTGTTCTGTAACTGTGTTCAGTACTACTCCATCCCAGGTGCAGTACTTGGCATCTCCCTTTGTTGACCTTTATGTCATTAATGATTGCCCAATATTCCAAATTCTCTAGATCCCTCAACAAGGCCTCTCATCTCTCCAGAAACTCAACAGCACCTCCCAGTGTAAATATCATCAGCAAAACTGCTGAGGTTGCATTCCACTCCTGCATCCAGATCATCAATAAAAATGTTGAACAGAACATACTCTAGGATTGAGTTCTGGGAAACATCACTAATGACAGCCAGCCAGATGTAGCCCTGTACACTTCAACACTTGGAGTTTAACTGTTGAGCCAGATCATCACATAACATAGCATGAATCTTTCTACCTCACAGCTAGACAATGTCTCCAGAATATGAGGGACAGTATAAAAGGCCTTACTGAATTCCAGGAAGATTACACCTACTGCCTTCCTTTCCCTCTAAGTGAGTGTATTCATTGTGGAAGGATATCAAACTACTAAGGCAGGACTTAGTCACCCCTGGTGACTACTAGGTTTGATAATAGTTTTATTCTTTAAATGCCTTTCAATAACTGCCAGGATAATATCCTTAATTTTCCAGGGACTGAGGTTAGACTGAAAGATCTGACATTTCCTGAATCTTCTCTCATACTCTTTGTAGACAGATACAACATTGACAAGGTTTCAATCAGCAAGATTCTCCTCAGATCACCAAGATTTTCGTTAAATTGTTGAGAATCCACCTATAACATTCTCTACCTCTTTCGGTATTATTTCAGTACTCTGAAATTAATGTTAGGCCCCATGGATCTCACTGGATCCTCCAATCTGAATTTCTGCCCTGCTTGCTTGATTTGCAATGCAATGAGATTGCCTGCCTGCTCCTGTGGTTTTAAAAGGTGTTTCTTAAAAAGGATCAGCTCTCATAACCAACTCAAAGCTCCTAAAGCTGTCTGAGTAGTTGAAAGTTTGTTCTCTTAAAATCCAGGTTGGCAACCTTTTCCTTATACCAGAAATTTTGAACTCAACTATTTTATAATAACAGCCTCCCATCATCACATCTCCCACAAGACAATTTCTATTCTCAAACAACAGGTCTAGGAGGACGTCTTTTCTAGTTTGCTTAGTAAGTACTTGTGGCACGAAGAAGGAAGTTATCTTCAATATGTTTTAGGAATTTTCCAGCCTGTGCAGCTGTATGGTATCTTTGGTTTATGTCTGGGAAGTTGAAATCTCCCATAACGGTGAGAGCAACCACGCCCAAGATTTCCCCTAACTGCCTACAGAATAATTCATCCATGAAATCTTCCTGGGTCAGTGTTGGTAGTAGATATCCACAATGAAATCTGCTTTGCTATTGCTCCCCTTAAACCCTCACCCAGAGGCTCTCTACTACATCACCCTTAACAGCTGTTGTAGGCGACAAACAGCAATGGCTATACAGTCTAATCTCTCCCTTACGTACAGTGAAACACTTCCACGTTACCTGCCCTGCCTGTCCCTCCTGAACAGCTGATAACCCTCCATTCCAGTACTCCAGTCATGGGATTCAATTCACCAAGTTTCACTAATACCATTACTATCATAGCTCTGGAAAAAGATCAAAGGTTCCAGTTCTTCCCATTTGTTCCTCATACTGTGTGTGCTAGTACAAAGATATTTCAGATATGCTCCTAACAACAACTGTTACTAAACCACTTCTTGATCCTTACAAACTTGCTTCTCTTCTTCTTGTTAGATCAGTAATCAAAAAAAAGCTTTGGGAAGATCTGTAGGCTGTAGCTAAGCAGACTGCATAAGTTAATTAAGCAAGCTTATTGTCAGTAGGCTTATATTTTATACAAGGATGGGGTGGGGGAAGTCCATTCCTTCACTGCAAAAGTTTAATATCTGTGAATCAAAAAACAAAGCAGAAGTTTGAAGACCTATGCCTTTAGGATGCTAATGTCACTACTATTGAAGTTAATAAAAAATAACATCAGTGTGAAACTAAAACTGTTTTTATACGTCTAGCTTCAGGTATGAATCTATACACAGTAACAGCAGAACTGCTGAGTAAATCCATTTTCTTTTAGATTAGAAGCTAAGATTCGCTTTAACAGTATTCTTTGAATTTAATTCTAAAGTTGTTAAACCAAATAATAACAACAAAAAACAACCAACTGAATTGGAGATAAAATTATTTCCTAGTTATCAAAGCATGAAAGAAAGTGCATATATATCACAAAATTTTATGGGAGTACATATTTTAGTACACAGAGGTGCCTTCCTGAAAGTATATTTTGATTACTGTTTACCAGGAAAGAAATGTATATATTCAAACATAAAAGGAAAACTTGTCTTAAATTTTCCTAGGACTTATCAACAGCATCAAGCTGGTAGCTTTGTTCATAATTGAGTGAATACCAAAAGGAACACACATTATGATTCCTTATGAGAAATTATATTGTAAGAAAAAAAAAAAAAAAAAAAGTCCAGGACTGATCTGAAGAAATAATGTATGAAATCAGAGAATTAGATATGCATATCTTACCGTTAAAATAAATATAACTAATGAGAAGAAGTTCAGTAAGCGGATCAAGGTTATTTATGAGGTCCTTGATTTTCCCATTGGTTCTTTCTGCTACATAACCATTGATCTTCGTCTGGGCTTGATCAGACCTCTTGAAGTTCATAGGATAAATTTCACCTTCATAGAATTCTCTGAGGTTATTCAGAAATCTTTGTTGTGGTTTCAGTCGATCAAGTACAAACAGGACATTTCCCATATTAAGCTGAAAGCCCTCATTCTTTCTGTTTACCATTTGTATGAGTTGACGATAACCTTCATGGATTTCATTTTCAGAAATCTCACGTGGATTAAAGTGAAGGACCCTAAGAATCTGTGCCAAAGTATCAGACCTGGCACCAAGAGTCAGCATTGCAAAGGCAGTAGAGATGCTCAAAGGAGAGAAGAAAATATTTCCACTGTTTTCATGAGAAGAAATCTCTTTGTAGAAGCAACAAGCAAACTGACAAACACGGATCCCTACAGCCTGCTGTGGCATGTTTCGGTTTTCTTTTCCTCTTTGATTTTGGTTTCTTACAACTTGGTGATAAGGCTCATAGGGATAAATGTTGGAATGAATCCCAACAACTAAAAGGCAGAGGAACAGTAACAGCTTCATGTTTCTATAAATCTGTAAAAGAAGAAAATAAAAATGAAATCTGTCTTACAAATTTTTTTACCTCATGCTTTTCAATAAATCTGTCCTTTCACTGTACAGATCTGGCTTGGTACCAGTTACTCCAAGCCATTTTAATTCAAATGATATCAGCTTTCTATTTCAAGGAAGTAGGTTTTGGAAAATTACTCAATCCACTGAAGAAGTTATGAAACAATGAAAATTAAAATCAAAGCAAAGCAATATGAAAGGCACCCTCATTAAGGTTAGGCTACTTTTCCTTTGGAACGGTTTTATTTCCAGCATTCTATTTTTAATGTGATTTTAAGTGTTAAAAGTCCTTTAAGTCATAAGCACAGGTCTCCAGAACAGAGGATAAGGGAGCCGTCAATGCTGATTAATTACAGTTAGCATGATGAAAAATTCAAAGTAAAGGAAACACGTAGTATTCCTCCATTGTGACAATTAATGTTACACGCAATTTTAAATGGGCTGTGGGTAAACATATAAGCAGACACCAGAGAGAAAGTAAATGAGTTAGTTAATGAGGAAGTGATGAGCATTTTCTGTGATTCCTTAAAGCTTGACTAATTAAGCACTATTTAAAAAAAAAAACTGCCACACATCTTTGAGCAATTACAGATTTATCGAGACCATGGACATACAGTGTTGTTCATTAAAAAAGTGTGCCTACAGCATGCAAAGGTTTAGATAAATGACCAAACCAAATCACCTAAAAATCAGAAACAAACAAAAATTAGAGAAACAGGAGAACAATTTGAAAACAATCTTGACTTTACAATCAAAAATAAAGTGAAAAGTGACTTCAGCACAGAAGGATGCAATGGCAAAAAGCAAAGATGAATGAGTGAACTCTAGAGGAATAATACTAAAACATATCCATAGAATAGGAAAGCCTTTTTCAAAGTAGTGCATAAAAACCATCCATTCACTTCTGCATACTATGAAGTTCAGAAACAAATCTTAATGGCACTGCACAAGGTTCAATGACTTTTTTTGAGAGAAGAAAGTAAAGACATGGAACGAAACTGGAAATCAAAAGCATCTTCCTGTGGCATATTACTACTTTACCTACAAAATCATTAATAAAATAAAGTACTCCCCAGAGAAAAATACAAAGAATTCTGAGGGTGAAACATAAGTTAAGTGTCTGATTTGGAAAGAGAAATAGTATTTAGGCTTTCATATCTTATAAAATCATGATGCCTTGTTGAATTTTTATCCAACCATGATCTTTCATTTGTGTTCTCCACATTCTCATATACCTTGTTTCTCCAAAATTCGGCAAACTTAGAATGCTGATCTCCACTACAGTGTATGTTACATTCTTTGAATATTGTGGTTACAGCAATGGTACTATTGCTAGGAAGGACAAGAACCCCATGCCAAAACACTTTTGGTCATCATTCACTTTTATGCCTAGAACACATTTAAAACAGTACTTTTTGATTTGTTAGTGACTTGCTCTACTGTCACTCATACTCCTTTAACTCTATCTTTAGTACTTTTTTTCTGAATTCTCTAGAAACTTTAGAGAGCAAAACATAAATCTCTACTTTTATATTATTTCACGCACATCATTTGTTATTTATCACCTTTTTGCTTCATTGAACTCTAAAACTTTTCAATGTGCAGTCTTTTTAAAGAGGGAAATGCTATACAAATGAGCTCTCATAGAGGACTAATCTTACATATTTAAAAATAAAGTAACAAAACAATACAAAAAGTTTAAATTGCAGTCTGATTGAGAACAATATAATTTCTCAAATGATTAATCAGAAATTGTTGTAATATTTGACAGTTCTTCCACAGCAAAAAGATGCATGACTTACAGTGCAGTCAAAAGGGTCTCCTGTAGTGTTCACCAGGTCTGCACAGGTCCTTGCTCAGTTGTTTATGCTGCTGAACACAGTGCAGGGTATCCTCTAGCAAAGGTTAAGATCATCTAAGGGCTATGACTCACACATTATAATTTTAGAGATTAGGCAGAGCAAACAATGTTGAAACTAGTTTTACTGGACACCTAACTTTGCTGAATATATGTCTCACATGTGACATTTTATTATTCATGAATATGTGATTGCTCTGGTTAGATTCAAAACTGTTTTCATCGAACTGAACTTACTGATTTTTCTTATCACAACACATTTCAACTGCCAAAAATCTGTTGTTTTTTTTTTTTTCTATAATCAAGAGAATCAACAGAAATAATTACAGTTAAAGGTCTTGAGCATCATTTCCAATTACTATAGCATTGCTGCCACAAGGACTAGACTTAACGCCCTGGAATAATTCATCTTTTTGTGAATCAGCCTGATTGTTTGTATCTTGAAAATCCGTGTCGGGGCATGATTCTCCCCAGACAAACTCAGTGATGGTTCTAAAAGATGCAGAGCTTAAAACACTGTTTTGCTACTTCTGCAAATGCAGCCATAGGTGTATCCGACTATCCACTCCCACATGGAGAAAGCACTGGCAGCATGACCTGCTATGGCAACTCCAGGGCCACTCACACAGCTGTGTGCCCAAACACAAAGAATGTGGCCGGGATGCTATTATACATAGGTGATCCCAGGTACAAGTATGGCCTGGGGACAGGGGGCGGAAGCCTAAGAACGTGGGTGTTAAATAGAACAAGTCTTTAGACCAGCTTACTATCTTGGTATCTGGTTTGCAGGTAGCAGGCCACTCTGATCATTTGCCAAAATCATCTGTGTTAGATCAGACAGCCCAGCACCCTGAGCTCAGCCCTATTCACTACAGTGAACCACTGCCATTGCTGTGGAAAGTTGGTGGGAACAGTGACAGCAGTGTTGAACAGGGAACATCTGTAGATCATGTAGTGTAACCTCTTGCTCAAAGCAGGACCAGCTGTAGCAGTTTGCTCAGGACTGTCTTAACTATGATAAAGACAGCACAATCTCTCTGAGCAACCTTTTTCAGAGTTTGACCAGGTTTTCTCACAAATTTAGGTGGAATTTATTTTATCTTAATTTGTGCTCAATGCCCCTTGTCCTGTCACTGAGAAGAAGGTAGTGTTTTCTTTGCTCCTCCCATCACAAATCAAGTATTTATTAGATGGCCTTTTCTTCTCTGAGCTTAACAATTCCAGCACTCTCAGTTTCACCATATATGTCAGATCGCTTTTCTTACCCACTACTAGAGCAATACCAGTGTACTCATGTTCTTGTACTGGAGCCCAGCACTAGACATGGCACTCCAGATGTGTGTTCCATGAATGAGTAGAAGGAAAGCATCATCCACTTTGACTAGTGATAATCTCCCTCATGAAGCCAAGTCAAGATACTCTTGACCTTCTTTGTGAAAAGTGCTCATTGGTGGCTCATGCTCAGCTTGGTGTCTGCCAGAAACACCAAACCCTCAAACACAATATCTCATGTCTCCATTTCAAGAATTGGGATAACGTTTGTTCTCTATTTCCCTTTAAAATGCAAGCATTTTAGGAGAGGGAAGAACTTTACACAAAAATAGGTGGAGTTCTGATCTCAGTGTTCCATCTCCAAGCACCATTGAAATACTAACCACAACAATAGCTCTGTAATATTTTCTGGCAGGCAAAAATGCAAACAGTGAAAGTTGTTGATGATTACAACCTATCAAGCAACTCAGCAGATTGGGAAAAATAAAACAAAACAAAACAAAACAAAAAAAAACACCTCTTGCTTATGAAGTCAATCTTGAGAAATAAAATGCTTCGTGGTTGTATACTGGACACACAAATAATGTGTTCTTCAGGCATAACATTCATTTGAAAGAGTATTTGGGATATCATTTTTACTGTTCCTTGTGTAAGAGCCAGGAATCTCACTTAGAACTAACTTTTAATAATGGGCTACAGCTTTCATAGTGTATGAAAGGTGATTTCTGATGAAGAAAGGAAGGAAGCCTAATTAAATACAGACGCCATGCTAATGACAAGGTGATGGATGAATGACTAAGCTAGATTTGCACACACCTACACCACACCTCAGGACACTTGTAAGGAGAAAGCCTGGCAGTGAACAGGGAAAAGTCTGCCTACAATTGAAAAAGAAATTGAAAGAAGACAGAGAAAATTGATGCTGGATCAATGTACATGAAAAATGTGAATCTCTTGCTACTAGCATAAAAGAAAATCCAAACACTTTTCATATTTTTCTAGAGTAAAGCCATCAGTCCTTCATGTGAAAAGAGGGGTAGCAGTTTCTGACTCAATCGTACAATGCACATGATGAAAAACTTCAACTATAAACAATTAGTTAAATTATAATTATAAGTAGAATACTGATTTATAAAGAATTCAGCCATTTTGTGTAATTTTGAAAACCGGATATTCCAGAGTAACACTGAATATTTTGAAGATACAATGTTAATAGTGAAAGAGGAGATTCCCTCAACTATACTAGGAGCTTTTCAAAAAGTTCTCAAACAAACTGGCACTGAATTGCCATACGTAATTAAGTTCCAGATGGAAGTACTTAGTATATCTGTTTTGAACAAAGATAGTAAAATCAAGGGGCTTATTTATCTGGAGTTCCTCTCTACAATACCCAGTAAGGTAGGAAGGAAGGGAAGGTAGGAAGAAGGGAATTCTACTCCATAAACAAGGCCACAAAGCCTCTTTAACTTTGCTAAACCGCAGATACCAGGCGTGTACATACATTCAAAGTGATGGAAAAATGTCTTAATTTGTTGTCCATTGAAACTAAAGCACTTTTTCATAACGATAATTAAAAAGGGAGGCAACAGGGACTGGAAAACAAGTTTATCTTATGTTGTACTTTTCTGGAGCTGCCAGGACTTTCTTCTGAAGATTTAACAGGGAAAAGTGTACAGCCTATAAAATGAGGATGCTTATACCCAATTTAGAATACTGGTCCCTTGTAATAACAAAATATTGCCTTTTAAAAGTGTTTCAGAGCTTGTAGGATTTGTAAAAAACAATTGCCCAGTAGGTAGAGCACTGCAGAAGATTTACAGAAGCAGAAATCACTTCAAGACATCCCTGTTTAGTTACGGGTTTTTAGCAATCCTTTTAAACCCAGTATTCCCTCCCAGTAAATCCATTCTACTACACAGCAACAAGAGGAAGAAACAAAACAAAACAAAACCAACCACCAAAGACCAAAATGTTCTCTTTACTTTGCTCTCTTCTTGTCAACATGTTACCGTTACTTTAATTATCACAAAATGCGTGGATGTAGGTAAAGATATGTAACTATCTTACAACACAGGTTTTTGTTTATTTATGTCAACATCCTCAAATTCTGTCAGTTTTTCTTCAGGAAATGAGAGAAGTGACTGTGGTTTGGTAGCTCTTCTCTCTCCTGCCCAGCCTTCCATTTCTTTCTCTGGAAAGGAAGCAGGGAAGTATCCTACCCATCCTCTCTTGACATGCTTTGTGCTGCTGAGGATTCAATGTTCTAACTTGACAGAGCCATACCATACTCCTGAGTCTTCTCTACTCTTTTGGCTATTCTTGCTTTCCTAGCCACAAATAAGAACTCCAGGAAAGTAAACAGAAAGAGTAAGGAACATCCTCAGTACGATACCTCTCCAGAGGACAAATCGCCCTTCTTTCCACATAATCCTAGCCTCAAATTTGGTGTCCTGACAACTCCCTATTCTTGTGCTCCTTCAAATCACTCACCCAGCCCTCCAAGTATCAACACTGTTCCAACCACCACCTCTTCCAATGACTCACTGCAAGTATTCTTCATCTTCTCTAACTTCTCTTGTCATCACCTTCAGCATCAACTTTTTTAGCATCATAAAAGCTAAAATGAGAACATGAAGAGGTGAGGCTGTAGAGAAGTAGGGGTTCATCTTGGGAGACTTCATTGTGGCCTTCCAGTACCTTAGGGGAACTTGTAAACAGGAGGAAAACTGACTTTTTACACAGCCTCATAGTGAAAGGACAAGACGGAATGGTTTTATACTAAAAGAAAGGAGATTCAGGTCAGATATTAGGAGAAAATTTTTACTCAGAGCACAGTGGAGCACTGGCACAAGCTGCTCAGAGAAATTGTGGAAGTGTTCAAGGCCAGGTTGGATGGGGCCCTGAGCAGGCTGATTTGAGTCAACACTGTCTTTTTGTCCAGAAAGACCAGTGGTATCTTGGGATTCATTAGAAAGATTATGGCCAGCAGGTCAAGGAAGAATGTCCTCCCCCTTTATTCTGCCCTGGTGAGGCCACATCTAGAATACTGTGTCCAGTTCCGAGCTTCCCAGTTTGAGAAAACAAGGATATTATAGAGAAAGTCCAGTAAAGGGTCACAAAAATGATTAGGGGCCTGGAGCATTTAGGAAAGTTTGAAAGAGATGGGACTGTTCACCCTGGAGAAAACTGAACTTCTTTGAGGGTTACAGAGCCCTGGAACAAACTGCCCAGAGTGACTGCGGTGTCTCCTTCTCTGAAGATATTCAAAACCTGTTCTGTTGTGTGCAACCTACTATAGGGAACCTGCTGTACCAGAAGGATTGGACTATGTGATCTCCTGAGGTCCCTTCCAACCTTTGTGATTCTGTGACCTAGTAGATGGGTCCTTGCTCATTCCAACCTTACCCCCAGCAGGGAATTTGGAACTAGGTCATCTTTAAGGTCCCTTCCAACCAAAGACAGCCTGTTTCTATAATGATTCTACATACAGAGAAGAAGTTGGCAACAGTTTGTCTCAAGAAAGCTGAAGAATCATCACTTTGAAGATATCTAGTGTTTGTTTACTGCCTAAGGTTTCTCAAAGACAGAGAATTGTTTCTTCCACTAAATTAGTTCCCATCTACCTCAGCAGCTCTTTCAGCTGTATATGACTTTACGGCTACCAAAGAAAAGCCCTTTTCTTTTTATCTTATTAATTTATCTGTCTCATACTTCATGTTTTTTGTGATTCCAATGCTTTGCACTTACAAATTTTTATGCTCCATCTTTTGTGAAATTTTATGATGCTTAGATTTTTGTCAGAGAAAATCTGCATAATACTTTTTCCTCTTAATTCCAGCTCTCTCATGGTCCCCAAACACTAATACTTTGATAGCAGACATAAAAGTTAGTGACTTTCAATGGTCAGTACTCACTGTCAGCTGTTGAAATTTTAATTAAATTGGGAAACAAAACCATCACAGGGAAGAAAATCCCTCTATATTCAAAATAGATTCACAACTCAGCACAAAGAGGAAACTTTCAAGTAAATAAATCATACATAGACAACCTCCATCCTCCCCAGTACCCTCTTCCATTTTTCCTCCACTTCTTCCTTCCAGTTTTGGCCTCCCTTGTGCAAGGCATTATGCCTCAAAAATCACAAAATTAAAGAATTTAATGTCCTGCAGATTGTCAGATTAACGGAAATTCCAAGTCATAGTACTATTACATGACACTAATAACATGCATCTGAAGGAAAAAAAAGAGTCTGTAATCCAAATTCTAATATATTTTTAATCAATGTATTTCAAGGTGCTTCATATTATCACAGCTACATCAACATCTGTTTTGAGAATATATAGACAGCCGTGTATTATGTCAGTACAAATAACAGAAACCAGAGAAGAGAATGACCAGAAACCAGATGAACAGAAACCAGAGAAGAGACGAGAATGAGTTGTAAGAAGAGACATGATCAAGTTCAGATACACTTGGTTAAACGATGAGCTATGAAAATTCTGTAAACAAATGTAAAAAATATGTTACTTTTTAAGAGCGTGGGGAGGAGAACTTGAGAGATTATCCTAAAAAGAGAAAGTAGGGATGAAAAGAAAACTTTCCATTTTGGGGCCTAGTTCTAGAGACTGTTATTCCTTGCAACGTATTGTTTAGTAGTACCAGAACTGAAAGCAAGATAATTGAGGCAGTGATGTGCTGCTGAAATCGTTTAGACCTCTAGAAGTCAGGCTAATTGTGCTGCTGTTGTGTTACTGCTCAGATGTGACAATTCAGCTCTACCCAGCAAAGTGATGTGCAATACACTCATGGTAATTTATTAAGAACAAACTTAGATGACAAGCATGAAATAAAGTTCCCTGAATTGAACATAAACACCACCTCTTTCACCAAAAGTATCCTTTTGGATAGACTTAAAAACAAATAGAAAGCTCAGAAAGGAAACTCTATTAGAACTGAGAATTGGCCCTAGATAGCAGTTCCGGCATTTCTCTAAGGGAAATTATATGGACCAGAATTAAGTTGGAAAACAAAAACAGTACTTTACACACTCTCTTTCAGACATGCCTGAGAATCCAAAGAGCTACCAAAAACAAAACTCCAACCACAAAGACACATTTTGGAAAGCAGCGTACATCAGGGTGCCAAGCAGCATGACTCCACTGCTCCTGATACCTGAACTAGCTTGTCCAGGGCTCTCTAAGATATTTCCATAAGCAGCTGCTTTGCACAGTAGAAATAATCTAGGAAGTAAGCAAATCTGGCAAGCCTAGATCACGATGATGCATCCTGTGACAATGAGCCCAAGGCAATACAGATGTTACCATGTGAAAAAGGAACTAAACATATAACTGATTACAAAAATATGGAAGAATTTACAAGCTATAGCAGTTGTGTATTATTGTAAGGTATTTATTCTTTCAGAGTAATTCAGAAAACTTTTTCATAGAAACACTAGTCAACATCACACCAGGAGATGAATTAGTGATAACTGGAAAAAACAGAGATCACTGTAAATTGTATCTTGGTACATAGATCCATGTACAGATTGAAACTGCAACTAAAGAAAAGCTTTGGGTAGTAAAAATTGAACAGGTAAAATTCAAGCTCTGCAGCAACAAACTCGTGTGCACAGAGATTGTGTGAATTAGAGGTATGGGTAAATAAATGAAGGAAAAATTATGTACTCTTCTCTAGATGTCGAATCTGCAAAAATACATTGTGCCCTTGGACTCATAAAGGCAGTGAAGCAAAAAGGGAAATGGCATAGAACAACTGAGAAAAAACTTCAGTGCATCTCCTAGAACAGAGCTCTCACTGGAACAGAGATTAGATCAGTGAGCTAATCCCTCAACAGAACACACTTTGGACTTAAATAAATGTAATTCTTAATGGGAATATTTCATACTGCAGCAAGCACTTGTATGAAATTGCAGGGGAAGATTTATTTACCCTTGCTGGAAAAATGTTATATTTTTTGAAATGATTATTTTTTCACTTCTGTAAAACAGCCTTTGAGCAAAATATCACAGCAATGCAGATAGTAGTTCTATTGGTTCATTGCATAGCCCACTGTTCAGCAGACACGCTATTTCCAGCTACAATATTGCAAATATTTGCAGTTGTATTCAGAAAGTTAAACTCCATTATCTCCATTCTGACAGACTGAAAATTGAGCTCTGATCTGAACCTTGCACTATTTAGTAAGAAGCAAATAAATGGACAAGCTAGAATACGCGATACGTGAAATTTAACTTAGCAGAAATCAGACAATTAGAATGCTTCTAATGTCCTTAAGCTACAGTCAAGGGAACCATAGGCCCATACGGTTGTAAATAAATGGAATTTTTCTTTCAGGCTGTATCCACCACTTTATGCTCTTGATATAAATCAGTTACAAAATGATCACAATGAACATGTGTTCAGCGAGCTAAGGAAAACATTATCCAAGCATAAACATTCTTGATCAGTATCAAATGTCTCCAAGTGCCAAAAGGAAGATGAACAAGATACTTAGGATATGTTGCTTTTCCTGAAAAGGTTTCTGTTAGTCAGTGTAGTCTAAAGAAAATAAACTCTAATACAATAAAAAATCAGAAGCAATATCATCAATACTGGAAGAGATAGCTACAGGTCCAGAGGGTAAAGCACATCAGAGATTTACCAAACTTGGTCAACTCATCTGATAAACTACTTCTGAGTTACTGGAACTATTTTCAACATCATTGCATAGCTAATACATTTGAGGTGGAGAGAAAGATTGAGTACTGAAAATTGTTCCCATGATGACTGAGCTCAGTAGACACAGAAAAAGTGGGGTGTAGCATGGAGTGAGCAGTGTGAGCTAGAACTGAGGCAATAAAAGAAAAGGGAATTGCCTTCACCTTAATTACCATGTATTAGATGATATACGCTTCAAATGATTCAGCTCAATTGTTACACAAATACTTTTTTTTCTCCCAGCAATTTGTGGAAATCTTCAAAAGCTAAATATACCTTTAAACCTATTTGGAAAAAGAGAGTCTGTAACTGTATCAGCACTAGACATGAGAAATTTGGCTGACTGAAGAGATTCTGTGGAGACACAACAGCACATCAGTGTTGTATTGTAGATGCTATGCTTCTCACTTTGCTGAAATGAGCATTCAGTATCCTTGCTTTGATCCATTGCTCTGCAAACAGCATGCCCCTTTTCAGATCCTGCAATATACTGACCCCACCTCACCATGCTGAGCACTTAAGCAACTTTCTCTGCCACCTCATATATCTGCCAAGCACATGCCTGAGCAGTATATCTCTTTGATGGAGTGACATTTGGACAAATCTTCTCTCCATTTTGAAGTCTAACACATATGGATACCAGAACGTTGTTTGGTAGGAAGAGGTTCAGAGCATCACAAGGGGAGAGACACACCTTCCAGAGGAAGAAAGGAGAAAACAGCAAGTATCTTGGTTTTTGTCAGGTCTGACACCAACAGACACATACCTTTTTTACCTCTTAAGCCAGGCATTGAAGAAATATATATGTGTGTGAATGCACATATTTAAAAATTGCTTAACAATGGGCTGTGGTGTCAAAGAAAAGAAAAAAGCAACAGTTGCTTAAGAGCTGTTAAGTCAAGAGACGCTTTATAATAGCTAGTAAAGCAGGAAGATCTTTGGCAACCGCAGGAAGGAAAAAAAT